CCCCCACTGCTCAGCAGACACCGGGCAGAGTAGTCTCGGGAGCCCTTGCAGCGATATGCATTCATTATTTATAAGCAAAATATCATAAAACTTAACAAGCGGATATATTGTAGAACAGCCAGCGGGTGACGCTGCTATTCGGGATTACTCCTAAGCATTTTGTCACGTGTCCGGAATGAAATCAGTTCAGCTGTAGTTGCATCGGGCAAGATGGATGTTTAGCAACAGCTGTAACTACAAGGGGAGCATCTGCGCTTGGCCCACGGGCTTTGGTGAACTAATAAACTACATAGTTTACGCATTAGGTCCTGGCATAATTTCCCAGTAAAACGCTCGAAAGCAAACCACGGAGTGGTCGAGGCAAAAGGCAACTGAACTGTCGTTGTCCTAGGAATTGAAAAACGACAGGACATGCAACCAACCACCGAACCAACACGAAGCTCAGAGAAATTATAATCTACGGAGAGAGAAAGAGAGAGCTTTTGCCTGTTCTAAACCAGCTAAGAGAAAGTACCAACCCCTAAGAGTTTACTTTTACGATATTCGGAACTAAGGATAATGGGGTAGTCTCCCTCTAAAGTGCTTCCTTATGCATGTAAAACGTAAAACCGAAATTGTTATTTGTGCAGTCCGCTTGTTTAGGGTACATGCAACAGCAATTGCAACAGCAATTGCAACAACAGCAATTGCAACAACAGCAATGCTAAACACGACTGCGAATTGTTGAACAGACCTCGCAATTTCCATTTAACCAGCCAAGTTTTGAATTAACCAAACGCTTCAGCTAATTGACTAGACAGCCAAACTGCAGTTGTACCTGTTTTCTTTTTGAAAGGGGTATATTACCCTCCTCCCCTACCCTTACCTTAGCTAATTAGCTGGAAAAACAGCAAAGGGGCGTGCCGCGGTGGGGCATATAAATGACGACCCAATCAACCCAAATAAAATTACACCTATCGAGAGTTCGTAATGGATTGCATTGCAAATTTGAGGTGTTCTGCTGCCAATTTTAAAATGATTTATGCACACGCACTGTGCACCCCTTGCGTATGCGTATTCTATTTTGGAAACACAGAACATCTCCAACCGCCCCCACAAGTTAATTAATGTGCGGTCAACATAGGTTTTTGTGGCTTCCAGCTGCTGGAGGATCCAAACGCCCACACAGCCTGATGATATTTATGCTATGTTGCCATGTGTTTTGCATTATTGTGGCCGAACGTGGTTGTTAAGGAGCAAAAGGAAGTGTCTGTGGGCAGTGCATATCATTTAATAGGAATTTTAATGCAGACGCTCGGCACGGAGTGCACAGCATTCCAGCAGGAAATTAAATTCCAGGCCCCATTACATGATGAATTTATGTTGTGTGGTTAAATTAAATAAGACATTAAGTGCTGCATTATGACCGAGCTGAGTGCATTCTGTTCCATCTGGTTGGGCTGGCAAACAGTTTGGCCAAGAAGTAAGACCAGCCCGGCTAAGCCAAATAACTTGCCAACGCAAATAAGCAACTGCCAGTCCAGGCTCTTCAATTTTAATTAGCATTCCAGTTGGCCAAGAAGGCGAAGGCGAATGTGAAGGCCTTCTTATACCACTACCACCACTCACTAACGTCCAACGCCAGGTAATTAACAATAACAACTACGACACTCTTGTGATAAAGCCGCCAACCGAAAACATGACAGAACAACAAGTCGAGCCGAGCCGAGCCGAGCCGCCAAGCTTATTTGCTTGGCAATGGTCAGTAGCAGCAGTTGAATTAGCACCAAGTTTTAGTCCTTGGGCCCGGGTGGCTAATTAAAATGTATTGCTTTGTTGTTTTGTTTTGAATACAGTCACAGTCCGGTGGGATAAATTAAGCTGGCATGCTTTTAAAGACTTTAGTCGTCGTGGGGTGGCATCCACAACACCATTATTCAAGGAGTACGATGTTGGGAAAAAGTTCTCTGGCAGCGCTAACGATCTGCCAATGTCGAGATGATGCTGGAGCTCAAACTGAAACTGATGCGAAATCGAGCCGAACTGAACCGAGTTGAGCTAAGCTGCGACCATGCACCATTAACGATAACATCATCAAAGAAAATCCTTTACGACCATGTGTCACGTCAAAACGCAGCCACCCACTCGCTATTCCAAAGGACGTATACACACACTCGCATTCACATCCTTGCAGGGTGAAGGAGTAGCGCAATAGAAGCCTACGCTTCCTGTCACAGGACAAAACGCACAGCAGCAAATTGGCAGCAACGACAGCAATTGCTACAAAGGGACGACCACCACCCGAGTACACCCGTATCCGAGTGTATCCGTGTATCCAGTATCCCCAGTATCCCTCGTATCCCCTTGTATCCCTCGAATCCCTATATCCTGGGTTCCGAACATCCTTCGGCACCGGAGACGCACGTCGCCAAAGCTCAACTGCACACACATCAAAAATAAACCATCAACCAGGCCAAGGCTGGCAAAAACCGACAACAAAAAACGACGACATATCAACATTAGTCAATGTCGTGTAAGGGAGTACCCAAGTCTAGGCCCTCATATCTCCCTTCCCGTATACGCGGTAATCGGTGAAGTAAAGGGTATATTGTATTCGTGCTTATTTAGATTTAGGAAAGGACTCTAAAAAGTTTAAGATTTTATTATATCTAGATATGTTTTGCAGATCCCTGTGATGCCAAAGCGTTTTTATATAATAGTGAAATGAGTTTTAATCATGAATATCATAAATCATTGCCTAAATATATTTACAGTTTTATAATTTACCAAATTTGTTTATTGGGTATTTTTCATTCGTTTCCTTATAGCATTTTCCCTTTTTCTCCGTATTCTTTTTTTTGGTTTGGTACTCTGCAGCTGTTTTGAATAATCGAGCTTCGCTTTGTTTGTGGATTTTGTAAAGTATGAAAAATATGCGTGTCTTACTTTAAGCCGCGCCAGAGGCCTAATGAAGTGTTCACAACCCGAAGGGCTGGTACACCGCCCACAGGGGCCAATAATTAAAACGTGTCGGGCAATTCCGCTCAATTTACACGCCTCTTCAATTTATTTTTTTGCTGCCACACAAGGAGGCACATCGTTATGGCACTCCTGTCATCCCCATCCCCATTCAAATTGCTCGAGTGGCCGAACTGAAGATGAAGCTGAAGCTGAAGCTGAAGCTGCATTTGCACGAGCTTGTCGTTTATCAGTGGTTCTGCTCTTGAATTTCAATGCAGCTTATGAAATTTGCCGTACTTTGCATAAAAGCAAATCGAAACATTTTCAGCGCCGTGCTTATGTGTGTTCTTGCCGATGTTTGCATAGCCGTGGAAATTCAGCAACGGCGTGAGCGGCACGCACGTGGCGTATTCTATATTGGCAGGCAATGGATTGAAAGAAGACGCTCCAGTTGCATCGGCAATGGCAACTGCAGCTCCTCTTATATTGACTTGCACTTTGAAGCTTTTTGCGGCATTGCGTGGCGCATTCGAAATGCCTGCAAGACAATTCGCCAAAATGAAGCGTCAGCGTCAGTGGCCGGAAAAAAAGGGTGCAAAAAACCAGTTTCATTCGCGGTTCCGTCATTGAGCGGATTTTATTTTCGGATTTTGTTCTGTTTTTGCAACCGATTGTGGGCTGCTTGTAAACCTAAAGTTTACACTTTGACAATATATACTGCTCCACATATACACTGCTCCACAAATAGGCAAAAAAATAATTACTTTATAAGTATACAAAATTAATCAATATAAGCCGTATCATGCGTTTATTTACCTTTTTCTGTAATCGATATTTATTAACTACCTTGTTGTATTTTTAATTGTTGTATTTATGTTGAACTGTCAAAGCTATTTACTTTTTTACAAATTTAATGAAACTTTCTAAATATTTTAATTGCAAAATGAAAAGAAATCATTACAGTTCAGTCTACAGATTATAAATAAACCGCATTATGAGTCTAATGTTATTTGATTAATAATAAGATTAAACATATTTATAAATATTCATAGTTGTAAATCAGTTCAACCCTCATTAACTAAAAGCACCGATAATATTTGACAGCTAATTTAATGTGAGTCAAATTCTCTGTTCTTTCTTTTACTGCCTACTTTTGCTTTTCGAAACGCAACGTTGGCCTGCAATCGCTTATTAAGGAACCCAAAGACCAAGCGGCGTATGCGTAATTTAGACATGGGGAGTCAGGACAGCAGAATGTGACACGTAACAGGTGATTTGACCTAGCCAAGCAAACGCAGACAATGGCAGAAAAACCGATAACGATAAGTTATCCCAAGATCTTTTGACATGAGCAAACAAATAAAGAAGAAAGCACACGCAACAGCCAAAGGAGCAAATGCGATAGAAATGCAGAGGAAAAAAACGTGGAAAAATACAAAGTGCTGTCATTCATTGTGTGTTGTGCTGTGCTATTTGCCAAGGCAAGAGAAGGCAAAGCAGGTCGAGACAAGGCAGTCCCACTGACATTCTCCTGTCCTTTCCTCCACTTTCCACTTTCTACATTCCCGTGCTTTTTGTTTTCCTTTACCGCCCCCCAGCAAGGACATATGTGTGTGTATTTGTGGGTGTCCAAGTCCAAGTCTTTGTGCGTGTGACGTTTTATCTCTGTCACTAAATTGACACTTTAGTTAATGGATTTTGTGTGTGTGAGTGTGCTATTTGTGGCGCTTACTTTTTATCTGTGCGCCTTGGATTTGCCACTTTTGCTCCTTAACATATCAGAGTATCACCAAGCAACACCAGCAAACAACTCAGACACAGGACACGCACTTGCCCGAATCAACGTTTTATTTCCATCCAACGCAAGTGTAAGTACTTTGAATAATAAGAATGCTCTTTTTGATGGATGCGCAACAAATCTCTTTAGATTTATCAGCGGAACGATGACAACACTGCGTATGGGTGTTATTCGCCATCCCCCCAAGGCCTCTCATGATCCCCACAACAATTGTGGGGGATTACTCACGTGCTTGTTTGTATCAATACACACGATTTGTTACGACTTACGTGTCACTCTCAACACATCTGTATATATTCGTAGTGTTAAAATCTTTATACATTTGTAAAGTTTGTGTGCCTGGATTTCGGTTAAACAAAATGCCTCGTCAAGTACCACAACGCTATGGAATTGACCCACCCAAGCAGTCATGCCTTTGTAAGTCCCTTCCCCTAAACTGTTTTACTAAGCCAAAAAATGCACGCATTAATTACCGCCCGCAGGCAAGTCGAAATTGGATCAGCCTGTTGAACAGAAGAACCCATTGCAATTCCTTGAGCGCCAGAGTGATGCGAAACTGGTCGTGCATTGGACTCGCGCCGAAGGACAAACCGGAACCCTTTCACCCATTAAATTGTTGCCTCCTTGGTAGTGCTGACGAGCCAAAATTGTAACAATCATCAATAAAATTAATTGATAGTTAAATATAGATCACGAGATTTAAAATAACTTTTTATACTAAGAGAAGCTACAAAAATAACCAAAGTATATATCTCAAGGTATGCAACACTATACTTTGAGACCGGAAGCCTAATGGAATACTTACAAATTATGAATTTCTTATAATTTCATAAAATAACTTCTATATAAGTAATGTATTTACATTTTTTTATACACAAAGAAAAAAACGTCAATTGAGCTGTCCGAAAATATCAAAATATGTTTGCAATTTGTTTTAGTCTTTAAAATTATCCAATTCTAAGCCAATAAGTCTAAATAGGAAGAATTTTCTAGCTCTAGATGAAAGAAAAGCTGTTTATACTTGCCATCTAAAAATGCAATATTTTCCTCTGAAGTTCCACAACAAACTTTTCAAAATTATCGTATAGCACCCTCAACTAAATGGGTTTTATGTCTGAAATGTTAAGCTCTTTTGGCAAAGTTTATTATGCGTATTTGCAAAAAGGATGATATAGAAACCAAGGACACACTTTCAGCTTGCCGAGAATGCGTTGAGTTTAAAAGTAAAATAAAATAAAACATTTAATGCCCTCGGCTTATGTGCTGGATTTCGATTCGACCTGGACCGCGTGCGATAAATACACATGTGTATATCAGTCACAGAGTGTCAAGTTTTAAATCGGCTTTCTGGTCGGCCAGCAGCTTCAATTTGACGCAAATAATTTATATGTGATTTGGTCGCATTGCGGCGGCTTGTCAGGGCTCTGTGGCACCGTTGTTTCAGGGGCAGGGATTTGTAAGTTCTGTTGACAAAATAAGCAAAATAATAAATTACAAAAGTTGTGGCACGCGCTTCCGCCGGGATTTGGTTAATCGAATATGCACACAAAGGCGATATGGCCCCCTCCAATCACTTTTCCCAAACCGACCCATCATCATCATCATCATCGTATGCAGGCCCTTGACACATTAATTGGCCAAGTGCACGCCAAAGTTGATGGGGGCTGGGGCTCCATTTTCCAGTTTCAAATAAATACTATATATGGCCATGTGCTTGATGCAGCCACCAGGTGTGTTGAGCACTGGCCAAAGCCGAAGTGGTTAACTTTCCTCTGAATGTGGCAGCACATGCAAGTTGCGACATTTCCACCCACCACTTGCCCAACTGGGCGCGAACTTGGCCCAGCTAACTTTTCCTATTCGGTTGTGGATCGCTTTAAAGCAACGCTATTTATGCCACTGCCAGACTTACCGCTCACACTTTGAAAAAATAGTTTTAAGTTTAAATGAAGAAGATACTATGTCGTCAAAGTTATGAGTAGTTTTTATTCGACATTATTTAAAGACACTTTTAAAAATAAAAGAAGAAATCGAAAATATCCAAGTAAAAGTTTACTAGCTATTGACATACAAAATATATAAAATCATGAAATGATCATAAGTTCTAATATTTAGAACAGTAATTCTTTTTGCGAGTGCATAAGGCTGACCCTTGGTGACCGGGTGCTCATTATGTACCCATTGCCGAGGATACAGGTGAGTAACCGTATCCGCGCTAAGTGGCTCCTGCATTGGGAATGGAAACTGAATGAATGGCCGCTTGAAATGCCTTGAAGCCCAAAGGATTAAATGCTCGCTGCACACACAAAGGCGGCGGACTGCCACCGCATTGTGAAAACAACTCATTTATCATAAGCGCGCTGCAGTGGTATGAAGGGGGTGGGCATTGAGAGGGGGAGGGGGAAGGGGGAGCGAACTGAGGCTTACGACAAAAGTAACTGACAACTGCAGATGAAATGTTGAAAGCGCGAACTGAACACACAGCGCAACAATTAATTGTCTCCGCATTCATTTGCCCTTCGCCAAGATGCCAGATGGTTTTTTATAAGGGGAGGCACAGTTGGGGGAGGGGTATCTGGGGTCAGGGGTCAAGGGGGCAAGGTGGGCAGTCGCTTGGTCACGGTTGCGACTGCTTGCCAGCCCCGGCACGCAATAATCGCCCGGCATTTGCCCTTAATTAATGGTTGAGCGCAAAGTAATAAACGATATTTAAACCGAAATTGCTTTGTTTTTTCTCTGCTCTGCTTTTGTAATTGAAAACAGACAGAGTTCATATTTTATGCGGCTGTCATAAAACTTTAACAACTATTTTTGCCAAAACAAATAAAAAGAGCACCCATTTTAATTAACTCAAAAGCTTGAGCATGCGATAAAAGCATTGACCAATAATTACTTTCCTTTAATTAAAATATTTATTATTAAATTAGATATATGAGGAAGAAGAAAAAAAAGCAATGGCTGTGGAGCAAGGTGTAAGAAGCACTAGATTCAGGAAAGATAAATTATTTTAATGATGACAGACGAGGACTCAGGAACCTGTGCGTGCCAGGACAAAAGCCAAGAAAATCCGGGCCAAGGATGGGCCACAGGTAGCCACTAATATTAGCCACATGTGAAGAAATCGGTGCATAAAGTAAATACACAGCCAACAAAATTTCACCAACCATTTGTACTTTCCATGATAATTGGGTTCTACTGAGTAAAAGTCCCATACAAACTTGTGTTCCATCACCTAAAAGTTTTGCATTATAACTAGGAATTCTGATGCAACCAAGGTGACATTTATCATGAAACCCGTAAAATTTAAATTATATTTATTTCAACAACTCTATAAAAAAAACATTCATTATAGTTTGAACCCCTGATTTTATGCAAATTTCTCCGATATTTAAGTGCCCATGAAAATTTGATTTTTTACAAATAGTTTTAGTTTTTCTTAAAATCTAAAGTCCTCTGTACCTATAAGTTTCGGGTATGCATAAAGATATATAATTGAATATCTTATTTTCTTCATAAAAATTACAAATTTTGGGTTATTATATACTACTTTTTTTTTTAAATATTAATAACGTCATGGCAACCTACAGCCAGTCTTGATAAATGTCTGTTCTGAGTGGTACATTTAGAAGTATTAAAAAATATATATTCAATATTTCTATGAATAAATTCTCTATAATTTTAAAAACCCAATGAAAACTGTCTTTACTGCAGTAAACCATCAATCAATCGTCCAATGCCGCACCGCTTCGTTAAGGGCCGGATTCCAACTCCCTTTGATTCGCCGCAACATGACCAATCACTTTCAACAGACGCAGCGATCTAATTAATTTGTTGCAAACTAATTTATTAATTAGCATGTCAGTGTCAGAGATTTTCGGCCACGGCTTATCATTAAACAAAGGAAAAGCCACGCAGCAGATGGATGGCATTGGTTTGGGATTGGGGTGGCGGCGGTGGCAAATAAATAGGCAATTAATCTGGCTCAGCTGTCGACAGGTGGGTCCGCGAGAATAACCTGCATAGGAAACTGCTGTTTCGCCGGACTCGGACATCGAGGAAGAAAAGAGCAGGTAAACCAAACTGGCTGAATGGAGGACAGCCAGCGGGAAATTGAACGAGCAATTATTTATTAATTTAACAGACACGCAATGCACATGGAGTTATCTCGATGCGATTCCTGACATCCGCTGTGATATCGAGCAATTCGAATTTTTGCATCGCTGCAGTCGAATGTCAGCCAAGGATGCAGATGCAGTTGCAGATGTGAATGTAAATGTGATTGTGAATGTGAATGTGAAAGCAGTTGCTGTTGCAGTGCGTGTGTGCCCATTAAGCATTTATGATGCTCATGTCAGCGTTGGAGTTCCAGGCAGCTCCAGGCAGGATTCGCAGGACTCGCAGGACTCGCAGGATTTGCAGAACCCATTGTTGCACTGATTTCCCTGGCGACCTGCGCTGCACCGGACTTTCAGGATGGGCTGCTTTAATTCAACAGCCTGGCTTAAGAATCATAAGAAAATTAATCAATTGACCTGATAATTTCCATTTAATTGGACAGCTCTCAACGAAATCAAGTGATTTTTGACAGCAGATTAATTTTAAAGACATCAGCTCTTGACGGCCAATAAAGTGATAATCAAAAATCTCTATTTTCAAGAGTTTAATAAAAATGAACTCTGGGTTTGCACCACCTGAAAGGCTTTAAATCAACATTATCGATTTTCCTGGTAAATTGCATTTAGTTGGGCAATTCTCAACAAAATCAAATGATTTTTGAAAGTCATATTGGCCAAAAGTATCTGTTTTTAAGAATTTCATGGGTTTTTGGGTCTTTATTATCTGCTTTGATGATGAAAAGTAACATCTTCTTCAAAATCAATTGCCCTGATAAGTGGAATTGAATTTGGCAGTATCCAACAAAATCAAGTGATTTTTGACAGTAATTTTGAACATACTCATTTAAAAGACATTTGCTTTTGAGAACCTATAAAGAGATATTCAATTTTTTTCTATTTATAAGTTGAATTTTATTGAGCAGCTCTTGATAATCACGAGATTTTCGGATCTCGGTTTTTGGCTTGGCCTTCATAAAACGCTTTAGTTTAACATCCGTCTTCAAAATTATTGGAAAACAAATAATAAATTACCCAAATAAGTTGCATTTAATTGGGCAACTCTCGAAGCAATCAAGTGATTTTTGACAGATTGACTTAGAAGACATCTGCACTTGACAACCAATAAAACGTTAATTAAAAGTCCCTGCTCTAAAGAATTTAATAAAAACCAACTCTTGGGTTTTTGGAGCTCGGTTTTTCGGCTTTGGCCTTCCTTACATCGCCTGAAAGGCTTGGCATTTTGGCTAGGTTTTAGCAAATTGCAGGGAGGCATTTTCCCCAACCAGAAACGAAACCGAAATGAAAACTAAAACTAAAACGTCGCATTTCGCACTCACATCTGCAGAGCTGAGCTGCATTCGAGTCTGGGTCAGCAATGTGCGAGTGTGCAATGTGTTGGCCTGCCCAAGTTTCTGGCAAGTGAAAACGAAAGCCCTTATCCTTAGTGTCTGTGTGTATATGGTGTGCATGGTGTGTGCATGGTGCACATGCACATGGTGGTGTGCAGCGGAAGTGGGTAAATAGTGCAGGGAGGAAATGTATAAATAAATATTTGCAAATGAAAATGAACAAGGAAATGGAAATGGAAGCGCCATGTGGCAGCGACAAGCGCTAAATCGTTTTATATACTAGCATGTGTCCGAAACGATAATAAATGCGGCTGTTTGGCCACACAACAATTTGCAGCAACCCTGATCCCGAAATACCTCAAAGAAAATTCTTGGAAAATTTGTGCATTGTTCTAATGCTGAATAGTGGGGCAAGAAAGCCATTCCTTTTTTTACAAAAAGGTCGAACTAATTTTTTCCAGGTTTCTAAGCGCTTGAAATCAAATTTAAATTTTTAACATATTTTTTCTAAGGCTGAGAATAAATATTAAATCAATATATAGGTTATCATTGCTAAGTACAATTTAAAAATTTTAAAATACTTTCAGATTGATTTCCCTTAAATAATAAAACAAAAATTCTTTAATTCTTCATCAGCTTTTCTCAAATATAGACCAAAAAGGTTTCTTCCTCTGGGACTGAAACCATTGATTAAAGAACAAAGTCTGAACCAATATCATGATTAAAAATTTAATACCCCACTTTAATGCCAAAGATTATCGCCAGTGAATCAAATTAATTCGAGTGCGGAAAATGAAGATAAAAAAAGGAGCAAAATATGTAAAGGCAAAAATGCTAACCAACTGAATTATTTTCAAATCATTCTAGGCAAAAGCAATTTGCATCTCAATTGGTGCTCAAAAATCGAGGGGCGACGGGTGGGATTGGTCGGTGCAGATGGGAGATGGGTGGAAAAATGCTGCCACAAAGCGGCAATCAGTAACAGTTATAGCGGAAAATAGCTATAATATGTATAGAGCTGATATGAATATCTAGCCCAAAACAGGCAGAAAATTGCAAAAGTGCTTAGAAAAGAATTCAGAGAAAAGGGCGGCGGAGCTGCACACATGACTGAAATTAAAATAGCAACAGCAACTGCCGAGTTTCGAGAAGATGAGGATATTTTTGGGGCGGAGGGTGGGTGGGGCTCAGCAAGGAGGACAGCACGGCAACCACACAAAAGCAATTTCGATCAGGCGCAAAGATAAGGAGCGGATTCGAGCAGAGAGGGCCAACGCAGCACATCAGTTACAAAATGTAGGCTACCTCTCCCCTTTGGGAAACCCAGGACCAGGAAAACCCTGGAAAACCGACACCCACACCTCAACAAAGGACCTCTGAAAGCGGAGCAGATAAAGACGAGCCGAAAAAACGAACAAGAATGAAGGGCTGTGAAGCACACACAAGGATGCGCTGGAGGATTCGTGGTTTAGGCCTCGTTTTGCGCTTTCTTTTTTCTTCCCTCTTTTTTTATTCGTGCGGCTGCTGTAGGTGCGCTAAAATTATGCAAATCATCGTAATACTTTGCCGGCGAAAGCAAAGCGGAAGGAAATTGTGTAAAAGCAGCAAGCCTTGTCTGTCTGACTGTCTTTCTGCTACTTTCTGCTACATTCTGCTACTGGCAGGCAGAGGCAGCCTTTTTGGCAGGCTACAAAGCAAATAATTGCCCCAGAAATTGGGGCCATGCAAACTGTAATGTAATGGAGCCGTTTCGCTTTGAACGTCGTCGCATGTGTAGTCCTAATGATGATATTTCCCAAAAAAAACAAAATAAAAACTGAAAAGAACTGAATCAAATAAAGCGCCTGGCCTGGCGGCGTGGAAAACAGTAAAATGAAGTGAAATACTTGGCAAGTGTTTGCTCAAGCGATGGCAGTCAATGGAGAAAAGCTTAAAGACTCTGCTGGCCATAAAAGAGTTTAAGCTGCCGCGCACTGGAGCATAAAGTGCAGACCCCTCATCCAGCTCCCTGCGAGAATTCAGCATCCTTGGTTGTTCGCTTCCTGTGGCCGGGGCGAAAAATTTAATAAACGTCAAGCTGAGAGGCAAAAGAACGACGGACCAAACATTGCACCTGCCGTTGACCGCATTCGGGAATGTTAGCGAAAAGGTGGCACTCCGAAATGCATACTTGTATAACCACGACGTATACGTATTGTCCATACGGGTCGGTGCAAAGATATGTAATATAACGTATACGACCCGTGACACATTTTGGAGACAAGCAAATGCCGGACTGACATCAGTTGATCCCTGATATCAGGAAACTTCATAAGTCTCCCCCGAGATTGCCCCGTCTAAGACCCATCTCTGATTTATGGTCCTTAACTTGCTTAATGCGCCATCGCTCATATGTCCTTGCCGCCTTATAATTGCACTTCTAAACATGGACCATTTATAAATCTAAGACTTGCTAAACTTTTCCCATTTCCCCGATAATTTCGCGCAACATTAACAGGCTTATTAATCGTTGCCCGCACGCAGGCAGAAACATCAAGCACGTCTCTTGATTATGACTGTGATCCTGAAGTGTGCACTGATATAAAAAAAATATAGTTAATTTAAGAAGTTCTTACTCAGTTCAAAGCGCAAACAAATTTTAATTTTTACATTTTTCGCATTGTGTGAAATTTTTTTGTTTCTATATTTAAGTACACTATTTTAGAAAAAGATTTTATTATCTGATCTAAATCCAATATTTTACACACTATTTAAAATCTTTTAATATTTATGATTGGTGGCTTTTAGTTATATGAAATCATTACATTTGTGCTTTCATATGTAAGCTTACGATTTTGGAAATTGATTTCAATAATAATCTTATTTTAAAGTATATAAGTCATATATATTCACATTAATTTTAGTATATCATAAAATCATGAATTTTAATATGCATAGTATTTAATATGATAATTTCATATATTATTTATATATATAACACGACAGTATGTCTTCAATAGCAAGGTATTTATTATTACCATTCCATTTTTTGTATCAGTGTAGTTGGCGTGAAATTGTCAAAATGTTTGGCCAGCCACACACACACATTTCCGCACAACCACATTCATGCGGAGCTTAGGAATTTTATTGGTCCCCCTTGGCGGGCGAATGAGGCATACCTTTTTTGAATAGCGCGACACATTAACTTAATAATTTAGTGGGTGTCGAGTGGGCTGTTATAAATATTTATAAGCGGTGCGATGGGCGTGACTTGAGTGGGCCGTCGATGGCAGCCCTAGATCTGCTGCTAAGAGCTACTCCAAATCCAAACTATCTCAGCTTCTCCGGCTCCTCAGGCTCAATTGCGCGTAAAAGTCAAATGTCTCCGCCTTTTGCCCAAAAAGCTTTTCCTGGGCACTTGCCACTTTCCACATGCCACTTGGCACACACGCAGATTCCAATACACATACACATGCAAAGTTAGCACGTTTTGGCATACACATAGCTCTCTAAGTCGGCGTTATATATGCGCATGTATTAGTTTTGGCCGTGCAATGCCGTACAAACGGTAAAGCTTACAGTCGTTAAGGGATTTAGCAGGCAAATATAAATTTATGAAATATTCGTATATTCGACTGGAGAACAACGAGTTGTTCGGGAGATTGCTATTGCACCTTTTCGCAAACAGAAAACCAGAAAGCCAGAAAGTTTTGGCCATGTTATATAGCTGTATAGCTACACGGCAACAAATACAATCTGCAGCCACAGCACGACTTGTTGTTGGTCACTGGACATGGACATGGGACAAAATCAATGCTAAACCAAACCGAACTAATGTTATTTGTGGAACAAACAACGATAATGAAATCATGGGGTGCTGGGCAAATCGAAAGTGATTCGCTTCGGCTCTGGTCAGGTTTTGGCATCGGGCCAATAACTAATTTCATTTACTCTGCCAAGCACATTTGCAATCGGATGGCATCATATGCACACAAAAGTTGACATTATCCACATGAGGTCGGGGCATGTTACCTGACTGTGAATCTTCTAGAAGCAATTAAGCCAAAGCAAGCTGATAATACAGGGCAGATTTTAAATCAGCTTTAAATTGTTGCCTTTTCATGTATATTCTGGCTTTAATCACTAGGGTTTTAAAATCACTTTAAAAGTAGTGAACAATGTAATTACTTTAACCAGGGAACTTATATCTTTGAAAATATATTGTTGCATACTTTTAAGCACCGTTTTGATAAGTATCAAAACCTACTTTTAATTTTGGGTCGCAAGTGCAACTAAATAAATAAATGTTCAACAATGAATGGCAATTATCATGAAACAGTTGTGCATACATTTTATTAAAAAGCAGGTAGCCAATTAACAAACAATATAAATAAACCTGCATGTCATCAGCTGGCGAATCTTACGGAAATGTTGAGAGTTCTGCTACCGCTGCTGGCATTTTGTTCCTTGGGTAATATAAATATTATTTTTGCCATGAAATGAGCATATAATATTTATTCTTTTAGCCAATGGCCAATGCCGATTCACCAGGCAACAGGTGGAGCAAACCACCCGCATTTTCATGCTGCGTGGCCAGAATCGTCAGCTCTCACTGAAGCGAACGGCCAGTTCGGCAGTTGGCGAGGTCCTGCAGATGTTTTGCTCTCCCCAGGACATTGTGACCTCAACCTGCCAGTCGGTACAGAGGCGTCCGGCGGCCTTCCAGCCAGCGTTGCCCATGACCTGTCGAGCTCCTCCTGCCGCCTTGACCACGCCTGTTCAAGATCGCAGCTGTCCTGCCCAAATGTACCGAGTGGGCTACAACGCGGGCAACAATCAGTTCCTGGAGCTCTATCGTGCCTGCTTCAACACGAGAGCCGCGCGGGCGGTCTTCGTGGAGCATCGGGTGTACGCCAAGCCCTTCTGTAAGTAACTTTCCGTAAAATAAAATGTATATAAATATCTTTCCAAAAAAAATTAAGCCATTCGGCCACAAGTATTTTCCTAACTTTGAGAAGAGATTAAAAAAATAATAAAATAGAGGCTTTAAAAACTAATACCAACCTTAGAGTAAATTTTTTCAAAACTTGTTCAACACTAATGAAATTGCTTTTCAATTTATATAAAAACTGTTTTTTATAAAAAAATTATAGTGTGAAAATTTTAAAAAATCTTAAACAAAAACGTTTTTTGTGGAAATCAGGAACATTTATACTTATACAAAATAAGATATTATTAACGGTCTTCAAAATACCATAATGTATAAATTATATATAGAACTTCTTATTTAATAAAGTGTTTATTTTCTAACCTACTTAGATGCCGCTCGGCCCTGCGTGCAATTCAGTGCCGATGGAGTGATCAGTCCGGTTGACGAAGCCAGTTATACAACTCGCAACATTTACTCTACCTTCCGCAGGCTCTTTGGCAATAACCAGAACTACATAGCCAACAACCGGGATGTGGTCATCAATCGTGGACATCTGGCCGCCTCGGCAGACTTTTTCTTTGGCGATCAGATGTGCGCCACCTTCAAGTATGTGAACGCAGTGCCGCAATTCAAGTCGATCAACGATGGCAACTGGGAGGCCATTGAGCGGTGGGTGCGCAATTCGGTGACCGGAAACGCATTCGTGAATGTGCGGACAGGGGCCAGGGATGTCCTCTCACTGACACCATCTGGACCCAATCCCGCGGGCCCAGGGCCCAAGAACGTCTTCCTCAGCGGCAACAAGAACCCAGTGCCATTGTGGATGTACAAGATAGTGAGGAACGCGAACAACCAGCCCACCGTGGCCTTCCTTACCCTCAACAACATATTCGCCCGTCAACGTCCAGCGGCTCCCAATTTCTGCCAACCCGTGAACTGTCCAGTTAACCTGGTCAACACAGCACAGGCCGGATATTCCTTCTGTTGCAATCCCGCTACTTTCAGACCCTAATCCGTAAAGTTTCTGCCAATTAAAAAACATTTCAACATATAAACTACTTTAAAATATTTGTAGTTTTCATTGCTACTCAAAATAAATATTTTGTAAATTTTATCTACTGGATTCTCTTCATGGGACTTCGAAAAATAAAGTTAATTGAGTATAAAAGCGTAAGCTTATACTGAATTATTCTTGCAAAAGCACACATAGTTTTTAATAAGTCGTAAAAAACTCTTTGATTTAATACCTCTTTTTGGAATAAATTCCAGCCGCTTGATTGATTAATTTTAAAATCGTACTTAAGAATAAGTAAAATTAAGTTAAATTAAAATTACGAAAGGATTAATACGTAATTCCTATGTGTGTTGTTTTATATTATGTTAAGAAATACCAATTATACTGCATTTCCCTTGCAAAACCGCATAAAACGGCACTTAAGACCAATTAAAGTCAAATTAAATATATTGTTATGTCTTCATGCCGCAAATCAATTTTCATAAATCGTAAAAGTTCGCGTGGCAGTTTAAAACGCATTGCAAACTCTTCGAATTCATGCCTCATTCGGAATGGACTCCAGCCGCTTGTTTTAATGGTCATTCAGCGGCTTCTCATAAATTCCCCCGGCAACTTGCTTGTGGTTGTGGCCCATTTAAATTCAAGCTGCGATTGTGGAGCGAAGGCGAGCGCTTTTCAATGCCTCCGATTGCGATTGCGATTGGGATTGCGAGTGCGAGTGCGAGTGCGAGTGCAATAAAGGCCATGGCAATTGCTTCGTCGGGGATTGCGCCTAAAAGTAGACATTAAATAAATTATTCAGCAGGGTATGGCTGCGTTTGCGTTGCTTTTAAATACGCACGTCTGCGAAATTGTTTTGTGCGTGTGTGTGTGTGTGTGCGTGTGCGTGTGCTGTGCGTTGTGGAAGCTGATGAATATCCATGGAGCCAAGGGGACGGAAAAATAGGGACAGTGGGAGCTCATAAAAGTGCGGAATAAATTTAGCAACCCGGACATGCGTTGAACTGGGCTCTCATAAAACCTAACAGTTGTAATTGTGCTGTAAACACGCAACTCAATGGCATTGTGAATGGGCTGCAGCCACCCAACCACCCACCACCCACATCCCATCCATGCCTATGCATCCATATCCATCCTGCACTGCGGCACAATTTAATTTATGCCCTGTTTTGTGGCCGGCTTGTTGATTTTGCTGTCTTGCCCCTTTTATTTTTATTGACCATTACGATTCAACCCGAGCAAAACAGACAGCCACGATTTGAGTCATAAATTTTATATGGCATAATTTGGTTCGCCCCTGTGAGCATGCATTAAAAGTGCCCAAATAGCGCCAAATTGCTCGTAAGCTGCGGAAATTGCGTTACGCCCTCTCCAAATCCAGTCAAAGGGAAGGCAGACAAAAGCCTAGCATTAACCATTTCGCAGCTTCTACATTCAAATGCATGGCCACTTAGACAAGGAGCAATTCAATGACCAGACAACGACTGACAGACGAATTAAACAGGGCTTTTATTTGGCTCCCGTCTTGCTCAGAGTTGTGCCTTATTCGCAAACCACAATGATCTATAGAGAACAACGGTTTAGCAGTCTAAGACAACACCTACAAAACTCCCATCTAAATACCAGTTTTATATGCCGCACTAATGCTCATCCAGGGATAAACTGTACATTTTTGCTTGTTGCTGCAAAATCAACTGCATGGTTTTGGAAAATAAATTTCATATGTGGGCAAAGTTACAGTTACAAAATGGAAAATATTTCCGTATGCAGCCGCCCATCCAGTGCCAGCACAATGCAACGTAATAAAAGCGTTTTTCGAGCATTTAAGCATGAAGAAAATGGGGAAATATGTTTACAGCCAAAAATAGTCTGTTGTCTGAAATGCACGTGCTTGGCCAGAACAATGAAGGCAGCCCAATCAAGCCGCCCTTGAAGGTATATAAGCACCAGAGGCTCAGCTCATTGATCAACAAACATCATGGAAGCTCAACAACTGCTGCTTATCGTTGCCATTGGACTGGGACTGGGTAAGAAAAAACAAACAAGGGCTCCAAAAAACTCGACTCCTGGCAATTAAAATACACAAATAAAAACGTTTACTTTAATACACGTCCTCCTAAATTTAGTAATGAGAAAGCACTGTATAATGGAGCGAATAAGAGGTATACAATTTAAATATTTGCTGGAAATAATATGGATTTTAACATATAACATTTTAAAATGAGTCCCTTAAATGTTTAGAGCATATCCCTACTAAATTTTGCCAAAGATTTTAATAGTAAAAGTCATATTTGCGTAATTTACTTGCTTCTTATTTTAAATGGATTTTAACTTTACTCTTCCAATCGAATTTATGTGCAATTTTTATACGAATTGGGTTAAATGAGATTTCTAAAATACCAAGGAATAGTTTTAAGAAAACCTTTTTAACTGCAGCTAATAAAATGATTGCATTTTAAAATCTATGTAAGAAAAGTTTAAATTGCTTACTTATTAGGATTTGAAATTTAGAAGCACATCCATTGGTGTTAAATATTGCTGACTAATTATCCTCGTGCTTTCAGTGCTCCTGTCGCAGGCGGACTGCCCGCTGTCCAGGGCCATGATCGAGGGCACCAATCGGATATTCACCAACCGCAATGCTGCCGGCCAATACGAGCTGAAGCGACTCCAGAGAGTCCGCACCAGCGAGGTGCTCCACATGTTCTGCACTGCGACGGACATTGTCCAGACGACCTGCCAGCAGAATACCAACTTCAGTCGACCTCTGCCGCTGCGCTGCCAAAGACCCATTGCTGCCTCGGCCACGGTGGTCACCGATGCCTCCTGTCCGGCCACCATGTACTCCGTGGGCTACACCATCAACAATCGCCATCTGGAGCTGTACCGCGCCTGCTACCAAGGCTCTGCTGTCCGGGCCCGGTTCACTACCCATTCGGTGTACCACAAGACCTTCTGTGAGTCCACTAAAAAGTCTTGTTTGTACTTTATTTACTGAGTAATAATTCTTTACAGTCCCGCAACGTCCTTGCTCCGATTTCACCAGAGATGGCGTCATCAGCGATACGGATGCCCAAAGTTTCCTACCCCGCACAATTTTCCGGGCATTCCGCACCATTTTTGGCAACAACCAGCGGTACATTCCCAACGAACGGGATACGGTAATCAATCGTGGACATCTGACCCCGTCGGCAGACTATCTCTATGGGGACCAGATGTGCGCCACCTTCAAGTACATTAACGTGGCGCCCATGTGGAAGAGCATCAACGATCGCAACTGGCAGACGATCGAAAGGTGGGTGCGAACCCGCATTAGTGCCGGCGGATCGCTGAGGATCAAGACCGGAACCAATGGCGATCTTACACTGCCCGACAACCGAAATCGCCAGCGTCGCATTATTCTGGGTGCCGGCACCAAGAACGTCATGCCCATGTGGCTCTATAAGGTGGTGCGCACATCCGCCAATGCACCGCACAGCGTGTTCGTCACCCTCAACAACATTTATGCAACTGCCCGACCCGCTGCCCCCGCATTCTGCACCAGTATTCCCTGCCCCATGACCCTTGAGAATGTGGCAGCCGCCGGACACACCTACTGCTGCAATGCCACCACCTTTACCCTTTAAACACAAAATTGATTGGAAAAATTATTAAAAAAAAACAACAACCAAAAAAAATATGGTTTGAAACTTATTACAGACACTTGGAGATGGGTTCCGAAAAATTTGAAAGCAGCAAATACTTGGCTTTTAAGAAATAATTTTATTTTATTTTGAGTTTTTTCTTAATTTATTACGTAGGGTTATATTTATAAGCAGTATTTAAGGTCAAAATAATTCATGTCACTTTGCTATTTTTAACTTCTTTATTTAGTATGAATGTGGTATTCTTATTAAGATCAAGTTTTTTTTTGTCATACACGCAAAGTAATAAGAGCATTTTTTATCTGATCTTTTTATTAGTAATTAAAGTCATATTCATATTAGTTTTATCTTAACATATACAAATTTTGTTATTTACATAGGAATCCATTTAAGAAAAAAAAAAAAACATTGCGATTGAGAAATCCATAATCTTCCTGAACCTCTTCCGTACCGTTGACTGAGTCACGTAAACCCAGCCCATCCCATTAAGAAATTCAAGTAGCTGATGCTTAATGATTGCTCCGACGAACGGTTTCAAGTGCGGAATCCTATTTTATTTTCCCCTGCTGCACCTTAGATTCAATTTTAGATAGGTTTTTATGAGTGCTGGTGCTGCTGACAAAATGCAAGCCACATAAAGTTCATTGGATGCAGGTTGAAAAGAGCGGTAGGGCCACTCCTTTGTTATCAAACGAGCGCTGGCATGGTAAACAAGGCAGAGCTCAAACCACCCGGCGATGGGAGATAATAAGTGCAGATAAGACAGGGTGAAAGACACTGAACAGAGGTGAAGTGGGTGGCTTACCCCCCCACTCATCCAACCAACTTAAAGGCCCAGAGCAAGGTACCCAGTCGCTTATCACTGATGACCTGCGAAGAGCCTTGATGAACGTCGCGATTTTAGGGAACTAGGGAGATAAGAAACAAGCTCTAGCCCTTGATTACTTAGCTCATTTTTAGATCCTCTATTCTAGGTAGGGGTCCAAACTGTATCTGTGTGTCTGTCTGAATCTATTTCTCTGTGAACTAAGCTGACACTGTTTGCTTTATCGTATTCATAAATATATTTTTATTTATGGGAATGCCACGACTGACTGTAATATTGATAAGAATGCATTTGCTACACAAAGTGAACTTCTTGCTGAAGTAAGCTTTCTTTCTTGTTTATAATAAAATACATAATTCGATTGAGGCTATATATATTTCTTACAGTCGCAATTGTGTTCTGAATTTTCTGAATTCAAAAAATCCGTATGTGAATGGCAACAATGGGATCTTCGATATTCAATGCAGCGATATTGTGGCTACAGGTCAAACATTGTATTTGCTTTGAAAAACAGGAATCCAGCCTACTGGATTCGAGTGCCAAGACATCAATGTCTTCAAGCCTGCCTATCCACCAACTTGGGTGCAGGTCAACCCTATTGTGAGCTCAATCGAGGTCATATGACACCAAGTTCTGCATTTGTTTTCTTAGAATTTATAAAGTACGACAAGTACTTAAATGTCGTTGGTGTTTGCTGAGAAGGCAGGCAGTCGAGCTTTTGAGAGAGTGACATCTCAGCTAACTATATAATTTAATTTCAATTTGAGTGATAAGAATATACAAAAGAATACAGGCGAAATTCCAATACTCTGTTGGGTCAATTTTTATATTATATTATTATTTTATATGTTACAAGATATAAAGATATAATTATTATAAGGAACACTTTAAAGCGAAGAGACTATTGTGCATCAAAAATTCGGAATATTTATTACAGTGATGATGCTGATGAAATATACATGTCTGCTCTTTTACGCTGATCACTCGGATGTTTACAAGACCCTTTAAAGGAGTATAAAACACAAGTGAACTCATCGTGATCCTCAATTAAATGATCTGATATATCTCTGGGTCAGCCTGGGTCTGATTTTTTTTAAAAATGAACATCGAAGATTACTTGGCTATCAGCAAAACTTATGACCCAGTAATCTGATTTTTAGTTTTGGGAAATGCCCGGACTTTGTCGTCCCATTACGTATTCTTTAGCAACTACGATCTTATTCACATCTATAGTACGCAGTTTCTGTCATAACTATAATTTGCATGTCAAATCCAAATCTTTAGTTTTAAAAGTTTCCGATACAAACGGACAAACGGACAGATGGACGGACATGGCTAGATCGACTCGGCTATTGATCCTGATCAAGAATATATAAGCTAGCTGAAAGAGCATTTAAACTTCGGCCTGTAGCCGATTTTATAGTAAACTAAAAAAATTTAATCTGATTACTAATATAATATATAATATAATATATACAACTTTCGTTGCGTTGCCCTTTTATAAAACCCGTTGAGATAATATTAGCTTCAGTTCTAGCTGGAAGCTTAAGCTGTCAAGATGCACGATTTGCACAATCTCTTGCTCAGTCTGAGTCTGTTTTTCTGTGAGTTATTTTAATAGATTGCTCAGCATTGTATACAAAAATTCGACTCTCAGTTGTAGGAGCTGCCAGCACTGCATGCATTATCCCTGAAGATCAACTGAATTCCAAAAACGTTTACTTAAGTGGCAGCAATGGTAACTTCGATATTCAGCGCGGCGATATTGTGGCCACAGGACAATCAGTGCATTTGCTCTGTGCAGAAGGAATCTACCAAACCGCATTCGTGTGCCAAAACAATGTTTTCAATCCGCCTTTATCCACGTCTAATTGTGCAAGGGGAGTCAAAGCGTCCGTTAAAACGATAATAGACTCGTCTTGCCCATCTCCCTATCTCACATACGCCGTGGGTATACAAGAAGGCACACACTTTTTTGAGCTCTATCGAAACTGCTTCGATGGTCAACACTTGGCATTGCAGCATTCCATCTATAAGGCTTACCGCTACATACATTGTAAGCTTAAAATATTGTTTAACCAACTTGTTATCTGTAACCCTCAATTTTTAGCCGCTCTGCGTCCTGCAGCTTACTTTACAACGGATGGGATAATGACAGTTGCACAAGCTAGCGCTTACATGGCCAAGAAATATCGAGCCTGCCTATCCCCCAACTTGGGTGCAGGTCAACAGAATTGTGAGCTCGATCGAGGTCACATGACACCAAGTTCTGCTTTTATTTTTAAAGAGTTTAGGAAGTCGACTGACAAGTACTTAAATGTTGTTCCCCAAAACAAACTAGTCAATATTGGCAACTGGAAAAACATAGAGGCCTGGGTAAACAATCTGGTTATGGGACGTTATGATACTCATAGTCGAACCTACGATGTCCTGAAAGTTTGCACAGGCGCACTGCGAGTGCATGAGTTGAGTAATAACAATAGGGTACCCCTTTACCTATTGGGAGACAAAATTCCCGTTCCCAAGTGGACGTACAAAATAGTTGGTCACCTTTCCGGAGATAAATGGGTGATATTAACCTACAACGATGTGAATCCCCCTAGTCGTCAAGACCTAAATCAGATCTGCACAACAACCAATTGCCATCCAAATCTTAATCTGAATGGAGTGGGATACACTGTCTGCTGCAATCCATACGATTTTATTTTGAGAAATATTAATCATCTGTCGGGTATTTGCTGAGATGAAAGGCAATCAGGGTCAGCCTGGGTTTGATTTTTTTTGAAAGTAGGGTAGAGTATAAAAATTAAAATATTGGCATTTAACAGTACGAGGAATTGAACGCCTATAATTATGCTACATACATTTCATCAATAAATAATTTCAAATATATTAGAATCCGCCTAGTACACTGGCCTTTTTTTTGTTAATCAATTTATTACGAAAAAATTTGGGAGTGTGAAGTTGATAGCAGATTTAAGAGGCAAAAAACTCAAAACCGCAATGGATTAAAATCGAAGCGAAAATATTAAAATTGTGTACAAAATATTTGGTGTTTCTTCGTTTTTTTACCAGAGTATATTTCAAATGGATTCGGCTTACACGAAATTATCAATCTTATATGTAGAAAAATGAATATTATTTTAAAGATCGTAAAAAATAGAGCTACTACCAAAATTATCATTACATGAGTTCTGCGTATGCTTAACAGGGTTAAACGTAAGACCATTCATGATCATTATTAAGTTTCACTAAAAATCAAGGGTACTTGAACTTTATACTTTACTTTGTAAATTTATTGTAAAATTAAAATGTACAATGTAGTATACATATCCACCCACGCTAGATGTCGCACAGTAATCGTGAAAACTAAATGTAACATGTAAGTAAAATTTGACAGATTGTGGGAGTCATTTGGCGTGAAGCAATTATTAATAATTAATAGCTCGAAAAATTTGTATTCCTTACTATATACTTAATAAATAGCCGACACTAAATTGAGATATGCGTTTGGTTTTATGTAAACATAGTTTTTAAAAGAATCGCATTGTTTTAAACAGAAATGCTTTCCAATTCAATCAATTAAAACGCATGACCCAACGAGAAAGTACATTTCATTGCCAAAATTGCCAAAAATAACCGAGCCAACACGGTGTTTCCTGCGTACTATTTAAGATAAAATCAATAAGATTGTACTTTGATAGAGACTACTCTTTGAGATCACTTTTGCAAATGCAATACTTTTTGTCGGTTTTGTCGTCGACACAAGTTGAAACATCTTTATAACTATCTAGTCGACTTATGCTGGGCACTGAGACTTCCACAGAACCCGTAACATTGTTAAAGAGTACGGTGGCTCGGAAATCGGCGGAGTTCTGTTTAACCTTGAACATGGTGCGATAGGTGGCCACTTCTGCGAGGGGCAAGTCACCGTGATAATTCTGATCCAGCCCAATTTTCATTTCCGTCTCGTGAATATAGCTCAGAGTTAGTTCCCAGCAAATGCCACTGAGATTCCTGCCGGCCAGATACTCGTTGATCCGACCTATTACTCCAGGCGCAATTCTCTTGGCCCAATTCGCTTGGATTCTCTTGTAGGGCACGCAGGTACAGTAGTGATCCGGTATGCCGGCTTCCTCACAAGATCTCACCTCTGCGATGGGAAGGAATAAAGACTGGCAAAGGGGACAATCGGCTGATTTTGGCAATACCGTACTGCCGTCCAGTTCGATGATATGCTTCAGGGTGTTGTGTAGATCGTAGTTGGAGGTCAGTCGGTTTTGATTCACCTGCAAGGCACTGGCATATTCCGGATATTGAGCTCGAAACCAGGGCGGCAAGTAGATAAACATCGAGGGCAGACGCTCCTCCAGAAATCCACTGGACAGCGACATGAGCTTGCCATACCGAGATCCATGATCCGAGAGGAACACCATTATACTCTGTTCGAACACGCCATCTGCCTCGAAGTCCAGCAAATACTGCAGCACATAATCATCCATTTTCGAGGGCATTTCCCAGCTGTCGTGGCTGAAGCTATTCGACCAGAACAAACCCCAAATGGGACGCTCGTCGACGAAGCGTTTGGCAAACTCTTTGGCCATGTCGTAGACATAACTACTCGTGATCCGCCTGCCAATGCAGTACTTCATCGTGCAATCATGGCATTTCCAGGTGTTCAGACCCGATTCGAAGGCCTTCTGAGAGGGCCTCAAGTAAAAGTCGGTGGGTTGTTCCACAAACCCGGGTTTACAGTAGTTAAATGTGTCCATGCCAGTTTCATCCTCGGCATAGGCTGTCAGATAGCTGGCATTGCGGAGGTACTTCCATATAAAGGGGGTCTCGTCCAGGCAGCCTTTCTTCTTCCAGTCGCACACATTTTTCAAGGCCGAATCCTCACTGTACCCCGTCAAGATGGCCATTAGATTGGGAAAGGTGTTGTCGCCTACCTAACAATTAGATTAGGTCAATTATTTTTGGATTATGTTATGTCATTCGAACCATTTGTACTTTTCCATGATAATTGGGTGCTCATGAGTGTAACTTCAATATAATTTTATTTCTTTGCTAAGATCTTCTGTGATCTAAATGCTTATATTTCGATCTTAAAAGTATTTTAAGGATATTTTATCAAAATTCTTGTAGCAGTAAATGATAACTATTTTTGTTATTTTTCTTCAATTTAATAAGAAAAATGTATGAATTTATTTTGCTAATCAAAACTTAAACATCCTTAAAATCAGAAAAATTGTGTAAATTTAGAGGTTTAAATATTAACAACAAGGCCAGGGACATATTTTTAAAAGTATATTTCAGCTTGAATTAAATAGTTCCAATTATATTTGCTAGATAATTAAAAACATAGGATTTTTGTTTTTTAAGGTAAGTGATGGAGTATTACTTTATATGGGACTTCTACTCTGGTGTACGCATATATCATGGAAAAGTGCAAAGGGTTCGTGGAGTATATGGATTGTCTATATTAAGCTCACTCACCTTATTGTAGCCTTGCAGCTCGTACCAACCACTGCTCTGTAGAAAGCTATAAACCTTTGGCATGGTTCGTCGTAGGTTTATCCGCGACATGCTGTCTATGCCGAACATAAGTACACTTGGCTTCCGTTTGGCCGGTTCCAGGGAGAGTCCTTTGGGCAATGGCTTGTATTGGATGAGGGTATATGCATCGCTCTGCAGGACATCCGACTCGTTGCCCAGGCGATGACAGGCCAAAATCATTCCCTGAACATGCAGCGGCAACTCGTAGTTCTGCGTAAAATACTTCCGCTCCACCCTGCGAAATCATAATTGATGTCTCTAATCAGCAACTTCCAAGAATGCCACTTAATGTGAGCGATATCGAAACGACAAAAGACACTAACTTATCGTAACTGTCGTGCTGCCGATCGCGTGTTATCTCCTGATAATAACAGTTATACTCCCCCTCGCTGGAGTTCAGTAAAATCGAGGCTAACGTCTTGTTGATGAACAGCACATACCGCCTTCGGCTGATGTCATAAATCGGGGTCACCAAAGCGGATTCGTTGGAGCAGGTCTCGAAGTGCTCGGGATGGAAACTATCCATGACATCCGCCTCAAACGGATTCACATACGGAATCTTGCACTTTGCGGTCTCCACAAAGAAAAGGGGCAGATCTGCTTCCGGATTTTCCTTAGCAGTATAAGCACTAGTCACAGGACTTTCATATCCTTCCACTGTAAGTTCCGAAACCCTTAGTTTCCGGTATATAGTATTCGCAGTTTGATTTTTCAGATTGAGAATCACAATTACGGCTATAAAGCAAAGGCAAAGCCATTTAAGAATCGGGTAGAATAATTTGATCATGGCTGTTTAGCCTTTGAAGTTCGTTTTCAGACTGAGTAGACTTGCCACTGACTTCTAGCATTTACTGATTCCAACCATCATGCGTTATCAGCTCTTTTGGAAGAACTTAACAACCGATTTGCAACTAACTAACAAATTAAAAATGTTTGTTACACATGTCAGATAATTCTATTTTTGTTTCGTAAAGGAAGTCATACATGATGGTGATAGAACTGATAATTTAATAAAATTCAAGTCATCATTTACTTTTTTTTTAACAGACCTTACCAAAATTTTAGATGCGCTAACACAATTCATACAACCGCAAACTAAATACACAGTCTGTGAATGCATTTTAATCTTACAAAGAATATATGTTTTAAATTGGAAAGTTTATAAATTAACATACTATGGTTTATCAACGTTAATGTCCAAGTAGGAATAAATAGTTGCCCTCAAGGCACCATTAGCTATTAATTTAATCAGAAACATATAGCTGCCCACGGGCGCGGGAACAATGGAGAACATTTTGTCATCTAGAACAAAGTCCTTTAAAATGACATCGTGCTGTTTTGAGAAATACTATTATTAGATAATCATTCAATAAATTCCGAACCATTCTTACGTTAATTGGGCAAGTGTGATTCACGTTTATGTAGGGCGTTAGAGCCCTGTAAAAGTAAAAGAACACATTTGAGGGATTCGGGTGCTTCATGTAGTGACAAAGGTCCGCGGTGATGTTAAACAGGAATGGATGATAGCCGGACATTTTTTTAAATACGCTAAAATTGATTAGTGTCGTCTTTATTGGCAGGCTTAGAATATGCAAGTGCACGTTAGCTCCGATAATGCCACGACCCAGGACTTTCAATCGACACACTTTTACTTCGGCAAAGGATTGATCGTGAATTTCACACTTGATGTTAGTGTGTCGAGTAACTATACCGCCAGTTACTAGGACACTGAATGCCCACATCAGCCAAACGACAAATGCGAACTTCATGCCTGAAGAGTTCATGATATACTAATTACAAAATTCTCATAAAATAATGCATTAGTAAATTGACGATTATGACTTTTTAATTCAATTCTCAAAAAGTAATTATATATATATTTGGTTCAATGGTTTCAGTGAAGTTCAATATTTCTGCAAGCGTGTTAATACGGAGGTTGTTTTCAAGTATTTTCTTAATTAGTTGAATAAATATTGTTCTTAAACTTTCTATTTTTCTTGTTTAAATTATTTATATTTAAATGTAGTTCAGGTAGATTTTAAGCAATTTCTTAAATTTTTCGCTTAGCGGAGCTATCCACTTCATATGATGATTTGGTGAGAAACTCGGGTAAATGTAAAAAAGTTTTTAATACACATGCAACCTCTCTGTTAGAAAGATGTAAAATTTTAAAAATTTATAGATATAGTCTATCGATACTTTGAAAACCTATCGATAACTACTCAAATTTTCGTTACATTCAAGTGTGAGCTGCTTTAATAATTTTTCCACGGTCACACTGAACAAGCATTTCGAGCGATTCGATTGGAAAAACGGGAAAAATGGACCGTCGGAAAAATTAGGAAAAACTAATCGCGATGAGTGCGGACTCGATTGTAGTGAAAATACCGAGTTAACTGTGCGAAACCGAAACGTGCCGTTCAGGAAGCCGAGTACAAGAAAACGTAAAATATCCTGGCCCACGCAGGATAGCTGTGTGAAGCGAACGAAGCGAGGATTAGAAGGAGGGGGAGAAGTGGCAGAAGAAGAAGAAGCAGAAGGCGGAGCCGCATCTGCCGCAGTCAAAACACAAGAGGAAATATCCAACAAAAGCGAGACAAAAAGTGCATTCAGCGGGGGGAAATGTGAAATGTGAACTATGTTGCAACGTCGCGCTACTTGCATTGCCAAGTAAAAGCAAAGCAAAACAAAGCAAAGCAAACGCAGAAGCAAAAGCAAAACCAAAGTCAGAACAAACAAAATACACAAAGTGTGTGAGAGAGAAAGAGAGAAGGGAGAGGGAGTGTTTGGCGTATCTGTGTTTCGAACAGTGCGTTCTCGCGTGTGTGTGTGTCCAACAAATAATCGTTTAATTTCCTTCGATTTTGCAATTACAAAACCAACGAGAGCGGCTGAATTTCCATACCAAGGGGATGTCCTCACCACCAGCAACCCCCGCCTTCTAAGGTCATAGGTCACAAGCCAGGAGGTAAGTAAATCATCAGAATCATTCTACAAAAATGCACTCAACAAAACGATGATGAGTTTTGACCTCGCTTGCAAGTCGCGTAGGAAACGAAACGAATGCCAAATTTACCTAAAATAAAAAACCAAAAAAAAACACGTTTGCCAACGCCAACAGCAGCAAAAACAACCCATGTCCAATTAAAGTTGCAGCGGGGAAAAAAAGAAAGAAATGAAAAACCGGCATGCCGGCTGCTGCAATTCAGAGCTGCCAAAGTTAAACGAGCCAAGTAACTGCAGAAACAACAAAAACCACGCATCAACTACAGTGGAACTTCTCATGGGAAAGACCATTTGCCATGTTTGAATCCTCTACTCGTTGAGCATAAGTTCCAAAGCCTTACCGTTTTCTCATCCTCACGGTAAGCTTAAGCTGGGTTTAAATTGTTCATAAGTTTTTTTAGCTTACAACATGTTTTTAGCTTACCATGAATATTGTTTGTAAGCAAATAGATGCAAATTATCATCTTTGTATTATTAATATAATTAAGAAGTCATCCATGCAAAGTAAATATGCATATGATTTCATCTTTATAAAATTCAAGTTACAGAAGGAAAAGTGTATAGAGGCTGCAAAGGTTTCGTGAGTGTTGGTGCAACTTTGTGGGTGTATGTGTTTTCGCAATAGTACACCCAAGTCGCGCACTTTAAATATTTCACCTAACTACATACAGAACTCTGCTCGGATTGCGGTTTTTTTCTGCGCCGCCAACTTTTGAAATGAAAATAATCAAGGGGTTGGGAGCGAAAGGGCAGGCGGCTCTTCAACAATGCCACACCCACTCAAATTCCCCAGCAGTTTTCCCTTACTATTTGCTTTTTATTTCTCTGGAAAAGCCTGAATGTATGAATGAGTTAATCAGAGAGCGAAGGCAAAGCGCCAAAAGGCAACAGTCAGCAGACGCATCGTCTGCCCAGCTCTCTGGTTGCTATTATCAACAAACAACAAACAAAACGGCAAAAACAATTGCACTAAAGTTTCACTAGAATCTGCAATGAATCAGAAGGAAAAACCAGAAAAAAAGGGGCAACACGAAAAGTGATAGCTGGTAGCTTTATACCCTTTTATGTGAAGAAATTTCTGCTTATACAAAACGTATCTTAACATAACATAAGTCATAGTCTAAGTCTAGCAGTGACAAATAATCTAGACTTAAAATGCAAATTTTATACCGTTTTTATTGTTACAAATGAATATCCTTAAAAACTTCTGCAATATTAAAAGCAAATTAAGAAAAGATTCATATACAACAAATACATGACTTGTCTTCTATATACAGTTTTTCGAATATAACTAAATAATAAAAACAAAAATGCGCCAGAGTATAAGTTAACTAAAAAATAAACTATATAACCGTTATGTTGTTTCTTACATATTATAACAAACTTGTGCAGCGCTGACTAACTATTAAATGAACTCAACAATGTTCTAGCTTTATAGCCCATTGGTTTCGGAGTGTATCAAATGCCATGACAAAGATCCCGACGATGAGTCTGCTATAAATTGCGATGGCATTCTGTCCTTAACGGGTTTTTTGTTTGTTGGCTACATTTTTCGACATTTGGGCCATTGACGTAATTGTCAGACCCGGCCCAGACACACTACTCAACTGAACTGAACTGAACTGAGCCGTCAGTCTGACACCGCCACTCCAGAAATCCCGGCTCCATGGCCGCTTGCATTTCAATTTCCATTTGGAACTCGCGCTCCCGTCTGCCGTTTTCAAGCTCAAGAGCAGCCGGCTGCCTCTGCCTTGGTCTTTTCATGAATTTGCATTTGTGGTCGCCTGGAAAATTCTCCTATTTTCAGCGGGTATTTTTCATAATTTGCTGCGCACTCCGATTTTCCAGCACAATTTTTCCTTTTGCCTTGCTGCACGGTTCGTTGCACTTTCGTCAAGCTTTTGGTTGAAAGTTTTTGGCAAAATTTTTGTGTTATTGTAGGAATCGCACAAAAGTAATGAATGGTCTAATATATTCTGGATGCCTAGTAAGGCCAGCAGACCAAACAGCACTGGAGCAGCACCGCTGACGGCCAATTTGGGCGGACCACAAGCAATTAAAATTTAATTCGCCCAAACCTCGAGATATAGCAGGGCACATAAACCGCAGTATTAAAATTTAACAACGCAGCAGGTCCTGCGGCCAAATTGCCTACTGTCTGGGGCTGGGGCTGGGGCCACTTTAGAGCCCAACACTTGCCCCAAAACAACTCCGCCGCCCCGAGCACAAATTAATTGAATTGAGACACATTTTCGAGTTGCCGCAAAAAAAGAGAAATTATTTTGGGAATAATTCTTGTGGGCGGGCGGCTGGCTGGCACATCAAACACATTTATAATTTTATTAGGAGAGTTTTTTCCATTCACCGGAATGACAGGCAAATTAAAGGTCCTTGGCCGTTAATGTTCGGTATTCACGCACACCATGACAGAGGCAAAAAATACCCTGAAAAAAAATGTGTCGCTCTGTATTTAAACTAATATTTTAAAGATGTATGAACTTTTTGTAATTCCATTTCGAATTGTACTTTGTTGCGTACTGAAAAGATACTATTAAAGTATTTGACTGCTTATTTTAAGCATCTTTTAAAGAAATTACAATAAATAAATAAGGGACTAGTTTTTCCAAGTCTAGGGGCAATCCGGTCTGAGTCATTCGCAGTCGAGTCGAGTGAAATGAGCTGAGCTGAGGAGTGTGAAGCGCCGCTTAGGACCGGCCATAAAACAGCGCATGTTTGACTGTCGTGCAACCTTGTAGCAGAGAGTATTGTTTATATGTTGGCAACACGCTGCGCTGTCCATCCTCAGTATTTTGGCCCACTGCGGGTGTGTGCTAATGACGCCGCACTTAACCCATGTTACCCAAAAATAGGCGTGCCCAATGCCGCCCGTCAGGTAGTCTACATTGTCGTCGGGTCAAAGCAGGCAGCGATTTTATGGGCACTTGACAACTCTATAAACACAGAACGATTATCGCCACGAGAACAACATCTCCTCAACCCTCTGAAGCCTCTCCATTTTCAGTTCCACACAGTTCAGCACTTGAACCTCAATTTTCACACGGCTTTAATGCTCAGTTTTATGGCTGATATGCCAGTTAGATAGCTTTAAGCCCGGCTCAACTCCCCAATTTCCCTCCAGACACAAACAAGGGCCAAAAGAAATATGGCAAATGAAAGCATTGCCAAAGAAAAACGCAAAACCTCGCAGAAGATGAAAAACTTACAGACTAACTTTTAGTTTGCGGAGAGGAGCAGGCTGTGCTGTGTAGGTTTTTGTGTGTTTTTCAGTGCCTTCTCGAGATCTTCAAGTTGCATGTTGTCAAAATTGCTTTGACGTTTTATTAGTTTCCAACTGTAGCCGCCCCCAAGCAGCCACACTCTAACAAACCGACAACATCATCATCACCACTATCATCATCATTATTGTCGTCATCTCTTATGGCAAACGAGAAAAAAAATAGACAGAAAATCGACAGAAAATTTACATAAGAAACGCTGAAGGATGCTCCACGGGCCGGGCACACTTCACTCTAGCCGGCGCTAAAAATAACAAAAATAAAACTCCCAATGCGCTGACCAAAGCGAAATGAATAATACTCGCATAAAAGAAACGAATGCGGCGGCGACTCCGTCTCGTACACATTCGAAAATAGTTTGTGCGGCATGTCAAAAAGCCAGTGACCGCATTAAATTTTCCTCTCTAACAAACGTTTTTTTTTTGGAACACTTCCAGAGAGGCCCAGCGAAATGAAAAGCCGCATAACCAGCCAACCCAGCCCGTTTCAATTTGATCGGCCAGCCAGCCAGCCAGCTGGGACCCCAGAGATTTACGTTCTCATCCAGCATCTTTTACACATTTTATTTTTTCGGCGGGGTTAAGAAGTATGATTCAGGCTATGTTCGTCGCGTGCAGTTTGTTTTCCCAGGGCAGCAGATTGGTCACTGATTAATCACACGAAATGAGAATTTATTGAGGAAATCAAACGATCAAAAACCGTCTGAGAATTAAACGGATTGTAGAAGATGCTAAAATTAGCCATTACAAAAGTGTGCTTAATTATCGCTTTGGGTGAATCTGAGGTGCAGCTAAAAAGATTTGACAGCAAAATTAAAATATTGCTTTTAATAATCCCTATATTTTAGGTTTCATTCTATTCTAGTCAAGTCCCTTTAAAAATAGCTTTTTTAAGATTATTACCAATCAAGTATCCATTTGTTTCCAGATTTATATATAAATTAAAGAGCATCTAGTCGTCCTTCTCTGTAAGTCAACACTTTTTCCGTGCTTTTCTATGGACCAAATGGAGCACACGGCGCAACTCCCAAAAATGAGATTTGTGCACACGGCTATTTTTGTGACCATTGCAACCAGGCACAGAAAAAAATGGGGTAAAAAAACCCATGACAAATAGTTCAAAGGCCCAACTCGTTGAGAGATTTTACGTTTTTTTTTCCGGCGTCAAGTGTGTGTAGTTTGATATTTTTAGCACAAATGCTGGACGCACCCAAGAGGCAAAGGTACTGCACATGACGAGGGGAAATAATTAATTCATTGCATTGGCCAAACAATTTTTGGTCGGCTCGGTTCACATCAACTCACCTCAACTCTGAAATGGGTCAGCAATTGTAAGCCGGGCAGGCAGTTTCCTGCCTTTTGTTTGACGATCATGATTATAAGCCCATGTTGCGTCACGCTCTCCATGCCACGCCCATAAAGTAATTTGCCCTTTTGGCCCTTGCTCCAGAATCAGATAAATTTGGTTATTGCGTTTTATTGGCATGTTAAATTGTTGCAAGTTGTGCAGCCTATGTGTCTATCGGTTGTCTGCCCCACAGGCCCCACTCATTAAGTGAAATTGCCATCGAGACAAGTCGCCCCCCCTCTGTATTCACTGTATTTGCCCATGTGCTGGCTTTGCCTCTTGAAATTCAACTGATTATGAGATTGTTGACTCGTGTGTGCGCCTTCTCTTCCTGTGCGTTATGTTTTGTGGAAAAGGGGAAAAAGTGCTGGGGCTTGTGCTATAAATAAATACAATGGGAGTCACAATCAGAGCGCTGTGAAAATAATATGTTTTTTCTTATTTGACTATTAAAAAATTAAGTCTTTAGGGGGGTCAGACAAAAGAAAAAACAATTGTCAGCTTCCAAACTTGTTTGTACTTTTGTTACCTAACAAAAGCTCAGTAGGAAAAATAGTTATTCTATCAACCTTTTTTCCACTGGGTATATTCCCAACTCCTAATCTTTTAAATTCCCATTCTCATATTTTCTCTAGTACATTTATTAAAATTTCATACATATTTTATCAATTATTTTATGATATTGTAAATATTGAAAGAGTTATTACAGACATTTAAAACTACATTGAAAGGTTATTGCCTACACAATTTCTTTTAACGATCAAAATAATATAAACTTTTAAATTTGTGGTGAACCCTAAACAATGTTTCCAAATTCAATTTGCTTTGTAATATCTAAAACATAAAAATATCATAGAAAAGTTCCTTCTAACAGTAGGATTTAAAAGGGATTTACAATTATTTTTCTCTTTTTCTGACGGCAACTGTGTGTACTTGGGTATCAGGCACTTTTACGCAGCTCGTCTTGTTATTGTGCCGTATTTACATTTCGCTTTGGCGGAGCTCTTCGCCATGGTCAATGGCCGATCCGCTGCATAAAGTGGGGCTTTGTGGCTGGGGGATGGGCATGGCATGTGGCATGGGCGGCGGCAATGCCGAGCGCTTCAGCTGTGTTATGATATAATCTGCGGTTACCCAGCAACTAGAATAACATTTCTTCTTCTAAGACTTCCATGCTGCTGCTGTTGGTGTCAGCTCCATCATTTGTTCTGGGATCCCCAGAGTAACAAAGTACTCACCATATCCACACATTTCAGCTTTGTCAGCTGGCAACAGCCAGTACCAATGGTTAAATTAAAACACGGGTTGAGGGGAAAGGGGTGTCAAATAAAAAGATGAAGAAAAAGAAAAAAGTGCCGCTTAGTTTAACTAACGGGCTGTCAAATGGGCGTGGCGGTGGTGCTGTTATTTTCAGTTAGTTTTCCATTTGCTCAAAAGATGAATGCAAACAAATACACACCATACAGCAGCGGAATACTCCTAAAAATTAAACTGGGACGAGAATGTGGCATGGGCAGACCTTGCAGGTCCTTTTAAGCAGCGCACCATAATTTACATAACACTCACTTGCACTTAGTGCCTGACCTAAATTTGACAGCCACCTGCTAACGAAGCTGTCGCTGCCAGAAAGGAAATTCCATGGGGCTCTTTGTGTGGAAAAGGTGGAAATGGTAGGTGGTAGTAGGCAGCCCCGGGAAAATCCAGAGATCGCGGGCTGTGTAATTAACATGGGGGGGAAGAGCGGAGGCAACCGCAAAGGTCAGGGATTTCGTGTCTACCTCAAAAGGCGTGAGGTGAAAGCGAAAATGCTCGTAATGCGGGTCTATTTAGAGCTCTAGCTAAATATTCATAAATTCAGCAATTTGCTTAATTCGTTTTGCGGCAGGACTAGGAAAATAGAGAAAAGCCATTAGGGCACTTTAACCGCCCAATGAATGGTGGTTAATATTTTTTGTATGTTTGTCTATATTGTAGTACACAACATTTACAAACATAATTTATTATTATGAGCCATTTAGCCTTTCACCTAGAAAATAATCAAATGCTTTCTAAAATTTTCGGCCAAATCAATGGTTAACAAATCTTACATTAAAATTTTTTAAGCAATTGAGTAACTTACATTTTAGATTTCCTAATTAATATTTGGTATATTTAAAATGTATAAGCTTGTTAGTTTGGAACTGAAATAAATATTTTATGCATTTTTCCGAATTACAGAAAAACAAGAACTTGTATAGATCTGAAAGTTTCCAGGCATTGTAAGTCACTTTTATGGTTCTTTTCCCCCAGGGCAAACTATAGAATGGAATGGCTTTTGGTTTTAAAGGGTGTCGGCTTTTAATGGGTTACATTTTACCATGCTTCGCCCCTTGGTATCTTGGAGTCCATCATTGATAGTCGATTGGAAAGCCTTGTGCAACATGCAGCAAACATTTATCATCGATGGCAGAGCTCAAATGGCACGTTTGGATGGGCGCCCAGGCAATTTACGCAATGGAAAGTGTTGCCATCTGTGAGTGGGTGGTCTGTGTCGTGGCTGGAGGATTTTTTCCTACATTTCCCTCCATCGCACCCAACTCTCGAGTACGCCTCTGATGTGTCCAACTTGCTATCTCTTGGGTTGCCATTTAGCTTTATTGTGTAGCGACAATTTCAATTTCTATGGACGGGGGAGGCCTGATTAATGAATGAATACCCAAGTCAAGTGACAGAAATGTTGTTTAATTTACGGCTCCAGTCGCTGGATGGATACAACAAAACAAGGCAAGGGAAAATGTTGACAACAAAACGGAGAAATCCTTACGTAAACAGCGTCGCTGACTCATTCTGCTTAAATGCTACGTCTCGTTATTGCATATTATAAATGTAATTTGAAGTGAGAGTGCTTTTCGGGGAGGATTGTTCGAAGGGAAAAGGAATACGGGTCTCTGTCTGTCAACCCTGTGCAGTTTTTGTGCAACCTCCATTGCATCCACAACTAAAAGTTTAGAGTACTTGCCATCCCCATACCCATCCCCGGTTGCATTAGCGGAGCTGCCACTTTAGTTTGCCGATTGGCATTGTAATGGCCTTTCACTACCACTCCAGCTGGCCGACAAGTGGCCAAAACTTTTGCCAGCCTGACCCATATACGTCTGCCGGTTCCGGGCAGCCATTTTAATTGCTTTGTTTTATTGCCCCAATGAAGTTGTTCGGCTCTCCATGCTTGGGAAATCTTTGTTCATTAGCTACAAAACCATGTCCTCGCCGCAGGATACCACCAATCACTAGTGTAATAAAATCTAACTCTGCTTTTGCTATATTACTTAAGTGCTAAGGTGCGACTTTAAATTGTGCAATCTGTGCCAAAACAGCCCCTCACATTTTGCACTACGCTAATTCCAAAGTACACACAATACTCAAATTGTTTATTCATTACTTTTCGCTCTGGCCTTTTTTATTTATTTATTTTTGTTTTGGTTTTGTTTTTCGTTTGCCCCTCCAACAGAAGTGAGGCAATCGAAGCTTATAGTTAAATGCCTTTAATCTATATATAACTATGGCCAGGCAGCGCACAATTATGGCAATAAATATATCAACGTTAATGTATGCGATTTGGGACCAACTGTTAATTAGCGCTGCTGCCTGCCCCAAAACGCCAAAAGCGGCAGGCACAGAAAAGCCAGCAAATGAAGCGTGGTAGAAAATAATAGCCAAATGAAGCGTGAACAACAATCTGGCCAAAAGTTCCATGAATGAATTGCTCTGTGCGTATTTCTAGGGGCAACTGTTGTCTGGCGCCAGTTTGTTGTTTACCAAGGTTTTACCGGCATTATATGCACATATGTCGTCTGAGGGGCTTAAAAACGGAACCCACAATGTCGGAAAATGCCAATGACTTGGGCTAATTGTTGGTGGCAAGTGGCTTCTCTGTTTTTCTTGGCCAAAACCAAAACCGATAAGCCGAAAAAGCTTTGAATAAGTTTGTTGAGAACTTACTTAGCAACTGGCAAGAACAATGGCCAATCAGTAAGGAATCTTTGAACGCAAGCTTTTCATTGTTCCCGTCATAATCTTATTTCCATTCCTCTTTTCTGTTGACTCAAACGTCAAGCATTCTTGAACGCTTACTCCACTTCTATTAGCGCTTATCTTTTCCGACTGATTTCTTCATCATTCAGGCCCGGTGCTTCCGTTGCAAAGCACACACTTAACAGCGACAAAATTCAATTATGAGAATATTAGCACTGCATTTTGGCGCTTACCACTACCACTAGCCATGCCACAGGGTGCTGCAATTAAATGCGGCATTTTTGGCATTGGGACCTCCAAATCAGCAAATTGCTGCAGCGCCAATCGTAGCCATTAAGTTGTGCAGAGGGTTTCGGGTATTTGCGGTGTCTATGGTCAAAGTCTGTTTCGCTCGATTCTCAACGCGGATTTGGCGTTAATGCTGTTTGCCAACGCATTAACATGCAGTGGGCAACAAGCATTACGCATACGCCACGTGTGCAGCAAACCATGTTCGGGCCTGCCAATTACCCATGCAGTTCCCAACCGCACAAAGTGTCAGCACAAATAATTGACTGACAGACGAGACAGCCTCCTCTTTGTGATGCAAATGCAAATCTTATCGGGTTGACATAGTTAAGTCAACTAAACTGCTCGATGCTAGGCGGAAATTCGATTGTCATTATTAGCAGTTTTTAGCAGCAAACAAGTTTATTTACCAGCCTGTCTCTCCGCAGGCTATTTTATTATTCACCAGCCAAACGGAGAGCAACAAACTCGTTTGCGGCTTTTACAATTCAAATTGCAGTTAGCCCGATATCGCCCACTGACCAGCAGAAAAAAGAAAAGAGTCTGTTTTTATGGTCAAATTGAAATGACAAATAAACCGATTTAAATCAACGATAAACGGGCAACGCTTCCAAAAATATGACGCACTGCAGGGCGTATTTGTAATGCACTTCCTTTGTTTATTTAGCGCTATATGGAAAACCAACAGGCCGCAAGCGTTTACATCAATTATTTATATGCACTGATATGGTTTCTTTTTGTACTGAGTTGAGATAAGGTTCGTCGGCGGCTATTCAACGCAAATAGCCGAGATTAATGGCAGCACTCGAGTATCCCAGTCTTTTTACGACTCAAAAGCTTATTAGTTGGCCACGCCAATTGACCCCAACCACCGCCCACACAGGCGCCACTCTGCACTCTCAATTGCATTTAGTAGTGCCACCACCGCAAAGAGTCAACTGCTCTTAATTGCAAAATAATTGACTTTATTTTTAGTTTATCACTCTCGGAAACATTATTTTCTTAATTTTCCGTAGTGTTTTTTTTTTCATCGTTTTCATTTGCATTAGCATTCGCAATTTGTTGAGTGTTTCAATTAAATTAAATGAAAAACTTTTGCGGCAAATTGAAAATTTCCATTGGACAAACAAAAGCCGGGCAAGAAATTTAACTCAGTCGCTCTGTGCTGCTGTGGTTACAAAAAGCCGCAAAAAGCATTTAACCCACATTCGGCGGCGGCACGAAAACCAACTGCAAGCCACCGTTGGGACTTTATTTTGCATTATGCAAAGTGCTGGCCGGCCAGCAAACTCTGAGTTTGCCAACTGACTTTGGCTTTGAAGAAGGCGGCCAAGAAGCCAACGTAGGCTTGGCCAAAGTCGCGTGGATGACTCTGATGACGACGATGACTATGACGACGAGGAGACAGCTGCAAGTGGCACTGGCCAAACAGCATTTTAATTAGTTAAAGCAATGGACAAACATTGCCGGCACAAAAATAAAAAAGACAGACAATCCAGGAAGAAAATGGAGTTGTGGTGGCGAACGAACGAGTCGAAATGTGTATCAAGTGACCAATTGGCTAGCTTTGTTGGAATGGGTCATTTGCATGGCTCCCACGGCTGTCGTTTCTTTGAAATATATGGCCAGCGAGCGAAACCCTACAGCAACAAAAATAAATCGCAAAACACTGTGGCCGAACAGTGGCAAAACATTGTTCAGATGTCATTTAAATTGTTTCGTCGACTGTTGAGCGATAACAGCGCAAGGTACACACAAAGAAATTAAGTAATTTAAGAATTTAAAGTCAAAAAATTCCGCCTAAACTTTCTTAAGACTTAAATGCAAAATTATATGATTTGCCACCTGTAGGAAAAGTAGCAAAAATGAAAATTAAATTAATTCTAGTTTATTTGGGTAAAATTACAAAATTATTTATCTGTTGTTGTAAAACTATAAACGACTGTAGGTGAGCAATTTTAAGTAGTTTCAGTTGATGGATTAATCCGCTTAAGTGTGATCCATTAATTTGACAATACTAAATCTTTTTACACAAAAAGGGGGTATTTTATTTTTTGTTTAATATAAAATACAAATAATTACATACATGCTCTTCTTTCTATGTATTTTATTTTCCCCTATATTTAACCACTGTTTGTCGAGCGTTTGAAATGTATATCAGGACAAACAACAACACGCGCCGAACACGGGATGGGTATGTGGATGCCATGACCATGCCCGAGCCCAACTGCGTCCAACTGACACACTTTCAATTCCTATACAGCACAATCTAAGCTTGCGGTTCCAGTCCCAATCCAATTCAAACCAACCGAAACACGTGCCCCGTCCACATGCATTGCCATCAAAATATGTGCGGCAATAAATTAAATAAAATATGCAATGTGTGCAGAGTAAAATATGAGCGTTGTCACTGTCGCATCTACTTTTTGCGTGGGGCAAAAACCGAGTGGTTGGGGGCGTGGCTGGTGGTGCGCCTGCATTTACATGCTAATGGAACAGCGCTGTAATTTATGCGATCCGCTATTGTTGTTATCGCGCTGGTACGGCGCTGCGAAGTGAGCCGTGCTCAAGGTCGAAATTGTGTCAACTTCCGGACGAGAGATATTCCGGAATGGCAAAAAATTAAGCAGTAAAAATGTGACAGAAACTATTCTATGAAAAAACAAATACAGTTTATATTGTAAGAGTAACTGGCAAAGTTCTTACTCATATATGAACTTAAACTTAAATAAAATTAAATCATAACTTCAGAATCACTAAAACTGAAAATCCTTCTATGGCCAGATTTTCTCTTTTAATAAGTCAAACTAAAATAAAAATTGTATTCTTCTTATTCTATCAATAAGCCAAAATTAAATAAAATTTAAACATAACTAAAGCATTAAAACATATTACCTAAAAATCATTCGATTGGCGTTTGACTCCGTTTAAATAATAACAGCTTTTCTGTCTTAAATTTTAATTAAATCTCTAATGTCAATAAGTCAAACTTAACTAATGTTTAAACATGACTAAAGCCTCGCAACATATTAGCTAAACATCTTTCAATTGGCAATTTATTTTAGATTAAATAATAACAGCTTTTCTGTCTTAAATTTTAGAACACGATAGACAATTTTACTTGCACAGTATTACTATCGAAAATGTAGCCCATGTCAGAGACCTTAATCTATCTAAGCCTTTTCCCACACATCCTGCGTCCTGGCAAAGCTTCTGCTCTGATTCAATTTACGCTTGACAGGAAAGCCAACAAAATATGGTCTAAACTTGTCTGGCAAATTGAAAACTTCTACAGAAGAGTTTAAGGCCCGTGCGTTGGTCTTCACTGGTGTTCTTCGGCGTGCGTTGCTCATTTGGGTGTTGTTGATTTTGATTAGCATCCCGTTCACCTGATGATGCTGCCACCTGCCTCCGGAATTAGCGTCATCCATCACGAAAGTTCACTTAGCCCATAAGTTGGAGGCAGCTGGTTAACACATCGCTGGCCCAAATTGATGCCACGCCATGATTACATGCTTCATTAGGGCAAAACCCCTTGGTTGATCATTAACAAGCACCCGCTTATGTGGGCACGAAATTCGGTTTATTGATTTTTGCCCAATTAGGGCGGATATTTGTATCACTTTTTCAAGTTAAATTGTTTACAATAAACGAAATTAAATTTTGTGCAGATATTTAATAAACTAATTAGCTTGCGAACTCAAATTGCACATTTTAACCTAATTCTACCTGTCATTTAGCTCAATTGGGGTTTTGTCAAGTTATCTTCTATAATAAATTTAAACAATGGACTGCCACCACAACTGTTATGAAATTGATGGCACTCCTCATCATGTTTATGAGTGCACTTCAGCTCTCACTTTGTCCTTGTTCTAGGTTGAGGTTAGTCGAACTTAATCCAGCCAGCCAGCTCACTTAATGTCAAGTTTAATTCCGCTGATGTGCGGTCTTGCACTTGACCACTTCTGCACCCAGCGGAAATTCCGCAATTAAGCGGCAATAAGCTGACCCAAAGTGCACACGCACCGCCCACATTTTCCCTATTTTCTCCGGGATTTTCCTCTACCATTTTCGCAGCGACAACGGCGACAACATGGGTTAAATCAATGCCAAAACGAGGGCCGTTTGTTACTGCTTACTTTGGAGCGACTTGGCCCTTCTGGTCGTCCCTACTTCTTAGTAATCAGCAGCAGCAGCAGCAGCATTAATTAAAACTGAGCTTAGGATGCCAGACAACGGCAACGCGTTCCTGCATTTCACTTTAATTGAACTGAAGTTGTGTGTCTGGCCAATGGACAAGCTCGACTGCTCCTGCGATTGAATTAATTCCATTTTCTTTGGCCAACCCCCGAAAAGCTACTTGCCAATGCCCTTTCATCCTTTCGGAGACTTGCCAACGTATTCAGTTCAATTAGATTGCAAGTCAAAGTAATGAAAGGCAACTGCAGAGAGAATTGCTCCTCCCAAAGGGGAACACAATTTCCCATTAAAGTTAACACAAAAAAGAGGCCATGAATTTAATTTAGTATTCATGCTTCCAGCACCACCACTTCCTTCTTTTCAGTCCACAGCCCACAGCCACTCCTGCTCGTTCATCAATAAACGGCGGAAAGGACAAGGTTGTAAAATGTCAGGCAGCTGTCAGGACATGCGGCTCCTTCTGTCCGTCTGCCCGTCTTTCAGTCCGCCTGTGTGTGTATTAATTTGATTAAATGTTGCTCGGCACACACATGAAACATAACCCAAATGCAACAAATTTTTTCATCTTTGGCAGGTTTTAGCCCTGGCACGGAGAAAAAGATATTAATAGTTTGGTATAAAATTGTATATTTATGCAATTACAATATTGGGCTTTCACATATGTGAAAATGTTGATAACAGTTTCTCTTTTTAATTTTCTTAATTTTTTGTATTTTTTGTACTTTTTTAAGGAACTTCAAAAGAATAAATTGTTGTATGTCTTTTTATTGGAATATACAGGGGTGTTTAAAAGTATTTACACAATTTATAAGCATTTATTTAATGTAAAATAATAAAATTGATTAACATATAGGAGACGATTTATTTTAATTTTCTTGAAGAGCTACTGGAGTAAACTTGTTCGTTTCATAAATATTAACATATTTAAAGCAAGTGATATTGCTTTAAAAATCATTTTTCAAATTGTTAAAGAGAACAGACTTTTTTTTTAGACAGATTTAAACTACTACAGCATAACACTCTTACAATTATGTCCCTTACAATAAAATCATTGAAACCTTTTAAAAATAACACCTCAAAGTAGTGAACTATGATGTCAGGTTGTTAAACTTGTGAATTTTCCCAGTGTACATATCTGGTGACATTTACACAAGACGACCAAGCACGCAGTTATTGAAAGGCATACACAGAAACATGGAGCGGAAACGAGGAAACGGGAAAATGGGAAATGGGAAAACAGGGAGCAGTGGGCGGAAATGCCAAAAGGCAAGTGCGTGCGCCTGCGTTTTCCAAGGGAAAAGGGCGAAGTGTGAGGATGGGTGTAGTTAAGATGAAAAGGTGATATCGGGGGCACATAGTGTTGTCAAAAACCATGTCCATATGTGTGCTCGGAGCAAAACAGACAACGAACAAGGCAGTTGACACAGATAAACCAGGGGAGAGCTTCAGGGGGCCAGGCCAGCATTTCAATATGTAGATACAATGCAGCTGGCTGATAACAGAAACTGTTGCAAAAACAAATGCGTTTTCAGCCGTTAGAATGCATGACTCGAATAATTGATATGGTTTGTGAATTTAATTGGTGGCCAATTTGCTTTGGCCCGTTGCCATTTTTTGGCACTAAAAATAGCAGTCATTCGCAGAAGAAAGTGACTGGAATAAGAGATAAAATGGGCGTTTTCCAGACTATCATACAGCGCTCAACTTAGTTGCTTTTCCAAGTAAATAAAATAAAAGCAGCGTAATGGCTGGCATGTGCACTTAAGAACTCTCGTCTTTTTCGTCCAAATTTTTGTTCGTTCTCAGCGAGTGTTGAAAAATGCATGGCAGGAAGTTGGATTGGCATGCCATGGAGCAAGGATGTGCAGGCCGTCAGGCATTTCTGGGAATATTACACAGAAATCCCTGCCAAGAATGATGATGGTGATGATGATGATGATGATGATGGCAGTGTCAGAGTTAATGTTTGCCCTTATGCGCTGTTTTTCCCCATTTTCCATAAAGCCATAATGTCCTGTGAATGCACAAAATGCATTTACGGAGGCATGAAAAATTTAAGTTTAATTAAGCGTTCACCCCGAGGGCCCACGGACATCGCATCCTGGCGGCAGCTCTGTGACATCCTGTTCCCATTCGTGCCATGAACACACACCATTGTCCTTTCCGATGCCCGCATTGAATCCACTTCCGGTGCAGCCGCAAATATTGAAGGAGCGGTGACCTGGGGCAACACCAAAAGCCAGCCAAACACAATGCCATCGATTTTGGGCACGTTCCAAGCTGCAAACCCCTTATCCAACTGGGAGTCCTTAGCGTCTAGGTGGTTGGGAATTGCTCAGCCTCCAGCGGCATTGTATTACAAAATTAAGCGCATCTGAAAACAGAGCCCAGAGCATTCGTTTTGATTTCAGCTTCAAACGATTCTATTCTCCGCCTTAGAAGGTGGCACTTCGAAAATCGGTTATGGATTGAATTACCTTGAGAGATCTGAAAACGACTTTGGAGTTACAAAACCATATGAATTTTAAATTGGATTAAGTTTAGTTTAGCTGCAAAAATGTTTTTTTAACCAAACAATTTGTATTTAAACAAGATTTCATTTGTTATATTTATTTTTCGTAACAAAATTTGACTTCTCTCTGAAAAATCAGAAAGGAATATAAATTATCGATTAAAAAAGCCGGGGATAAAGTTTCTCTTCACAAAACTTTAGACCATTGATCATCATTTAAAGTGTTTCTTTTTTCTGGTTGCATTTTATTGCAGAGTATGCAGGCTTTGAGCTTAGTTTGCCGCCTTTTCAGTCTCGTTTGTCATGGTTTGCAGTCGAGGGACTCGAGGGAGCCTGAAAATCGATACGGAAGTGCTCCTGAGTTTCGCAAACTCTGGATGCCTCTAAGCTGCTTGTGCTGCTGTTTTTTTCACATGATTCTGCACGTACAGCGAAATTCGCCTGATTTTTACCTGTTTTCCATTCGCTGCCTGTCTGGCAAACAAAAACCATCCATTTGATGCAATATTTGATTGTGTATCTGCACACTCAATTGTCGCACTGATGAATCGAATCGGTGGAACAGCCACCTAGACATGCAATAAATATATGCTGTATCTAACTCGGCTTGCATACATTTACTATATTTGCGACTGCAAAACACTGTTTGCCATGCATGGAATATATTTTGTTTACGAAAAAGTTATTGCCTGAATAATTGAGCAAGTCGGCAAGGCAGAGAGTGATTATTTAAACATGAGCAGAGCGCCCATCATAATCAACACAGAAAAAAGGCCAAAAAAAAAAAGAGTGAAATGCGAAACCGAAATATGTAAATATGTAAATGCGAATTAATGGAGTACTTCCTGTCTGCATCCTTTTGAATGCCAGGCAGGCGGCGAATGCAAATGTAAATGTGAAGTGCATTAAACGCCCTGTCTGTGGGTGCAACATTTCAATTACGACCAACAAACCGACCACTGGCTCCCTTTTCTTGGGTTTTTTTGGGGCGGGCCCAAGCATCGGAGAGCTGTTTTTCCAGGCGAAAATGTGGAAAACCATTTGCATTTT